CTTTTGTCTTTTTTCCGTGTCCGGCAACGGATCGCAACCCTCAGTGTTGCCCCTGTACCGGACCGGGGACCGGCAACGGGATCGCAACCCTCAGTGTTGCCCCCGCACCGGGCCGGGGACCGGCAACGGGATTGCAACCCTCAGCGTCGCCCCCATGCCTCGCTCAGCCAGTGAGCGGGAACCGGTCTGTATGTGGGATCCGAACCCTCGAGCAGGAGCGCCACCGCGCTTCCCAAGCGGCGCACTATCCAGTGCGCCACCGGGCCGGCCCGAATTATTTTCTTTTAATGTTCATGCTTTTTGTGCTCCAAGAAATCTTTGACTAACCCTGGTCGCAAAGGTTTTGTCCCGTGTTTTCTTCTTGACATTTTAGTCTTAGTGCTCACACAGGTCTCTGATCCATTTTGAGTTGATTTTGAGTGGCGTGAGGCAGGGTTGGGCTCACCTTTGCATGCACATGTGCAGCTGTTCAGCACCGTTGGTTGAACTGACTTTTCTTTCCCTGTTGAATTACTTTAGAGCCTTTGTCAACAACCAATGTGTGCGGCTGTTCCTGGACTTTCTAGCCTGTTTCCTTTATTTATTTCTTTAGTTTTACACCAAAGCACAAAGCTGCAGCACTTCCAGTAGGTTTGTTAACTGGGTGGCAGCTGTCCCCTGAAACAGGGAGGGCTGCAGGGGGTGTGTGTGCAGAGTGTGCTGGTGGAGGACTTGTGTGCCTCTGTGAACCTCATCTGGACCTTCAGTTCTCTTTCCTCTTTTTCCTTGGGTTATCAGTGGAGATCAGAATACCCGATGTGGTTTTTACTGCTGACTGATAAAACCGTTTGTAGATCCAAGACTAAAAGTTGTTTTGGGGTAGAGATTTCATCTTTGTCATGTTGGCTGTAATGTGTAAAATGCTTAAAAATTTGTTCACATGGGAGTTTGAATTTTATTTCTTTTGTTTAAAATTGTATGAAGAAGGGCTGGCCTGTGGCTTCCTTGGGAGAGTGCGGTGCTGATAACACCAAGTCCACGGGTTCAGATCCCTATATAGGGATTGCTGGTTAGCTTGCTTGGGAGAGCGTGATGCTGACAACACCAAGTCAAGGGTTAAGATCCCCTTACTAGTCGTCTTTTTAAATAAAAAATAAATAAATAAAATTGTACAAAGAATACTCCTTTCTTAAAATTGGTGATGATTTCTCAAAGGTGGTTAACTTTTCCTGTCTAAGGTCTAGATGCAGAATATGACATGAATTAAAACTTTTTGATACCACACCTCTCTGTCTTAGTAGTTCACTTATTTCCAGTCATTAAAATCATACTGATGAATATTATTTAGAAGCTTGGCTGTGAAACATGGTCATTTGCCCTTTGCTGGTGTTAGTTTTTTTCCGGTGTAAGTGCACACTTTTCATAGGCTTCCTCAGTGAAATACCCACTTTTGTACATCTCTCTCTGGCCCTCCTGGGAACCATGGGCAGGCTGGCCTGCCACTGCTGCTGCTCACGTGTTCTTGAGGGCTTGGGGACCACGGAAGTTTTTGCACCCCCACTTAGCATGCTGCCGAACCAGGAGAGCCAGCCCTCCTGTGCAGCACTTCAGATTTCATCGCCCTCTAGTGAGTGACACACTTCGTAGCCACCTGTGTCCAGCGGGATCAGCCAGGATGGTGGCTGGGATGACTGGGAGGTTGGTGCCTTCTAGCTGACAGAGATTTCCCAGCAACACTGCACATTTGGGGCTGTTTCTTTAGCTACTTTATATCCGCTGGTTTTTCAAACCTGAAAGATAGATTTTTCTGTTTTATTTTAAAGTAATTCACAGGACTTACTCGTTTTCTTGATTATTCGATCAGCTTTTATGAAGCCGTTATAGTTACAGAGAAAGATGTACTCACACGTTAGTGCCTTTGTTTTTCTTGATACAGCTCTCCTCCCTCTATGAATATTGTATAGAAATGGGGGAATTAGCAAAATGATACGAAGGAAATAAAAAGACAGTGACACTGGAGTGGCCTAGATAGTTCTGGATTTTAGTTTGTGTGTTCAAATGGATTAACTAGAATTAGTCCATTTCCTGGGAAATTGGCCTTTCTGCCCAGTATCTTCTAGGTGGGTGTGGCTCTCTGGGCACACAGTGTTTCATGGGGTGTGCATTTTGTGTGTAGGTTCTGAGGCATGTAAGTCATCTTCAGGAAGCACAGAGCAGATGGCACCAGGAGACAGCACGGGATATATGGAAGTTTCTCTGGACTCCCTGGATCTTCGTGTCAAAGGGATTCTGTCCTCAGAAGCGGAAGGTGAACATGGGTGTTGTGACTGTGACTGGGCACCATCTTGTTCTTTGTTTGCTGAGCTTTGTCCTCTATATTAGCATGATGCCCCCTGGTGGCATTGAGAGAAAATCTGATTAAATGCGTCACTTAAAGGTGACTGAACAGACATGGCACATGTCACCCACAGTGTTCGAGGGAAGAGACAGAAATTGTGGAACCCTTCAAGAGTCAAGTAGCAAGCGCCTCATGCAAGATCAGGTTGCCACATCTACAATGTCTCCCTCCATAGGTCAGACACATTTTCACATAGAATCCCCAATGAAAAGGTGCCCTTCTGTCCTGGCTGTGTTTTAGGACACACTTGGGTGACATGATTTTGAATAATGTGCCTTCTGACGGTCTCTGATTCTGATTCTGACTGGTTGACATATGTCTTCTGTTCAGTGTTGAGCGAACAGTTCTCAGATGCGTTCTGTGATGAAATAAAGTATATTTAGCGTTATTTCTGTACATTAGCAGCTCCTGTTGGAAGTTCTTGTGCCAAAGCTGTTACAGCTTTCGTTGTTTCTCTATCAGCTTTTGGTCTTTTTATAAGCTGCTTACAAACCTTTTATCAGTGGAAAGTAATTAGTAACTGGTTATTTTGGAAAACCCATTTGAGGCATCATGTGGAGGGTATAAAGCCCCACAGACCCCATGGGCTTTGCAGGGGGGAATTGTGGACCACTGCTGGGTTAAGAACCACATGTTCAATGACAGCTGTCTGCTTTTTAAGGTTTTGAATGCTACAGGGCGTTTGACTCACCTGTGTAACTTAGAAAATCACATCTTTAGCTTAGAACATAAGTCTTAGGCATGTCCATCAGAGAAAGAATGAATTTTATATTTTTTTTGCACCAAATGGAACAGAAACCCCTTTTGGATATCAAAAAGTTCTTAACACAGTCATTCTGTGCTTTCTTTCTAAAGTATAACACCGTGTGTTTAAGTTTTAAAATTTGCTTTTAGATTTGGAGATCCCAGGAAGATAGAGATTTTTGTTGTAACCAGGAGGCAGTATTTCATTTTATCAAATTGACTCTGCTATGCTGCTATGAGCGTGGATATCTTGGGCTTGCTGTGTGATGGAAGATAGAGCGAGACAGCATTTAAGGGCTGTCAGCCTAAATAACAGAGAGAGGTCTCTGAAAGAATAATGAGTTTAATAGGGAATATAACATTGCAGGGAATCTGTGTGTCATGGTAAACTACGTGTGTGTTCAGGGAGGTAGAGGAGGACAAAGGGCTTTGATGGAAAAGGGACAGAGGGTTATATAGTTGCTTTGGGATAACTATCCCTGGATACAAGGATCAATAACAAGGGTGACTCCAGTCTGAGGCTGGACGGGCAGTTGCTGGGCAGACGTCCTGCAGAAGTATTTTCTGTGTGAGGTCATGATAGCCTCTCTGCAAGGCTGTGGTTTGCAGAGCCCTTTGTGATGGCTCTTGTCACTACAAACGCGTGTGGGAGAGCCCCCCTTCATGGCCTTCCTTGGCTGTATGTGTCAGGTTTTCAACACAAGTGACTCTGTTTTGATTCTGACAACTTTCACAGAGCCCTTCCGCCTGTGGTTGCTTATATCCTGTCCCCGGTAAAGTCAGGTCCAGAGGTGGTAAAAGTAACTGAGAAATAACTGAAGGACCAAAGATGGTGAACATAGAGGCCAAAATGAGCCAAGCTAGAGAAGTGGGAGAAGAAAAGGCTGGTGAACAGAGGCTTCCTCAGATTCCACGGCATTTTATAAATCAACCTCCCCAAAATTTGTTTCCCTGTAATGGATCAGGTCTGATTGATCAGTCAGTGACTGATCTGTTTCATCACCCTTTTAATTTAGAGAATCAGCACATTGAAGAGACAAGTAGCAATGCTCACTTGTGCTCATGCTGAAAATGTGGAATTTGGGACACTTGAGGGAGGTTGCTGCAGAGCCCAGAGCTGGATTGAGAGGCGAGAGCCAGGTGCTCGTGGGAGGCCCGGGTGGTATGCACCCCAGACAGGTGCGAATGGCCATTGGGAGCATGGCAGTGTGGACAAGTGATGGTCCTGGTTGTGACTCAAGAGGGTCCAGGCTTGAGCCATGGACCTGCAAGGATATTGTGTACCAAGATCAGAAATTCTCTCTGTCTGCATATGTGTCTTTTCTTGTTGTCTTTGCTGTTGCGTCTGTCAAGTTAGGTCTAGTGACATTATTATCTCGGCAGGTATCCCTTGGGGGGGGAGGACAGAGCCAGAGCTTATTGGGAGAGTCATTTGCCTGAGAGTCATTTGAATCATTTCGTTTGACGTCCCTGATCGTTTGTCACTGCTGGGGACGGGAACACACTCCAAGTCCAGTAAGACAGTCATCTGAGCTGCTGACAACATTGTCCAAGCATGGAGACCCTGGGTTTTCACCCACCTCACCTCTTCTTTCCCAGCACATGTGGTTGGTGCAGCAGAAGGATATCACATACTGACTTCGTTTGCAGTTTGTGTTTGTTTCCTCATTTTTAAAATCAAGTTGCTGAGCAGGACCATCTGAGAGGCCCACCCAGTTTTAAACTGGTAGTGATTCTAAGTTGAGTTTGACGTTACCGTTTTCCTGATCTTTTGGGGTGTGGGTACTCCTGAGGCTAGGCCAGGCATTCAGGCAGCAAATGATCAAGAGTTGCCTCTGTGTTGGTGTCAGTGACATCTTGAGGTTCCTTCTTGCACAGAGACCTGTGGCTCACTTGTCCATCTGTCTTTTGACGCTGTGCATGGATCCAGATTCCCTTCTGCGATGAGATGACCAATATCAGATTACAAACAAGGGCTAGAAATGAGCAATGAGTGACGCTGTGGGTGATAACAGCACACTCTCTTACTCAACTTGGGTGTTGGTAGAAGGTAATCTGAGGCACAAGACAATTTTTTTTTCCTTTTTTTTTTTCGTGACCGGTAACGGGATCGCAACCCTCGGTGTCGCGCCCGCACCGCGCTCAACCAGTGAGCGGACCGGTCTCTATATGGGATCCGTCCGAACCCTCAGCGGGAGCGCTGCCACACTCCCAAGCGCCGCACTCTACCGAGTGTGCCACCGGGCCGGCCCCACAAGACAATTTTAAAGAGTTTATTTGAGCAATCAGCGATTCATGAACCGGGCATTTCCACCCCTGGAGTGATCTGGAAGCTCAATGAAGGAATGCGAGGGGAAGGGTTTTATAGGGCAAGTGGGGAAGCAGAGCAAGGCAGACAGTTGACTGGCTGCAGTTACACAACCGCTCTCTTCTTTGCCCTGCCAGAAGGTCCCTGGTTACGTGAGTTGGTTGGTGGTTTCTGACTGGTTGAGCTTAAGTTTTCTTTTTCTTTTTTTTTGTCCTTTTTGAGACCGGCCGCACCACGCTCAGCCAGTGAGCGCTGTGAGCGCACCAGTCATCCCTGTATAGGATCCGGACCCGCGGTGGGAGTGCTGCTGTGCTCCCAGCGCTGCACTCTCCTGAGTGCGCCACGGGCTCAGCCCAAGTTTTATTTTTCTTTAATATAGGCATTTAGAAAGAATACCTCATAGTTTCATTTATGTTTGCAAATGAAGCAAGGCCAAGTTCGCCTATGTGGCTTACTTGGCTTTGTCTGCTCAGGGAGTCTTTGGGCCGGTATCCATTTTAATTTACTTCAACTGTGTTTTTAGATGTGAAGACAAGAGTTGATTACTTTTTACTGAGAGGTAAAGGCGAGTTTCTGGAACATTGATTCACCTCACGTTTCTACTTTGTTTCACAAGAAGGAGAGCATGAAATATGGCCTGGTATCCTTTGGAAGCAACAGTCTTTGTAACCCCTAGTCGGACTCATCGGGTCTTTCTCCATCTGCCTCCTGCGGACAACCATGCTCTGCCTTTCTGGACTCTCCCACCTTGGGCTGGGCTGTGTAGGGGGTGCCAGCTCTGGCTGTGGTCAGACATGGCCTCCTGCCCACCGCTGTCTCCGACCTCAGTCTTCAACATTTTCAGCCCTAATTATCCTCTAGATTATTTATTTAATTTTTTTGTTTTCCCTAACCCTAACCCTCCTTCAGCCTAATAAATAGACTCTTGGACTGTTGTAGTAAGTGAATAATATTCTAGGTAATATATAAACCATTATTACAGCCTCTCAGATTGATTTTTTTTTTAAGCCAACGAAGGAAAACAAGGTCCCAACATATAGTGAGCGCTTTTTTTCTGTGAAACCAGAAGATTTATGAGTTGCTGGTGAAGGTGCGGCCTCTCTCTTTTGAGCTTGTGTCACAGGTGCTGAGAACACAGACAGTCATTCTTGGAGGCTAGCAGGTGGGGTCAGCTGGGGAGGCACAGGTTGTTCCTTTGTGGCACTCCAGTGGTGGGTGCTGGGCACGTGTGTGGATGCTGCCCAGCAGTGCTGTTTGTGCCCATAGTGTCATCAAATATGTAGCTGTATTTCCTTGCATGTGAGGTCATTATAAAGAATCTATAATTGATTGCTTTCTGGATGACCTTTTGAGGTCAGGATTGCATGAGCTGACGTTTGTCTGTGTGACTTTAGGGCTGTCCAATGGTCCAGATGCACTGGAGACAGACAGCCTCCAGGAAGTGCCTCTCTGCAGCTGCCGGATGGAAACCCCAAAGAGCCGAGAGATCACCACCCTGGCCAATAACCAGTGCATGGCTACTGAAAGCGTGGATCACGAAGTAAGCAAGTTTATTTTCATTTAAAACAACAAGAAGAAACTAATCCGTGCCCCAGAAAGCACAGCCCTTTCTATTAAGCCACAGACTGTAGCCTCCCTACCTCCCCCGCCCCCATCAGTTGTACCAAATGACCAGGAACCTGAGGAGACTTTGCACAAAACCAGTCAAGTAAACACCAGTAATGAAATAACTGGAGATGATAAAACCAACACACGAGTCTAGAGTTTATTAAAAAGGAAGGTAGTATACAAACTGTGTTTGAATGAAAATGGCCTGTGAGATTTATGTTTCTTCTGTAGTCATGCGTTTATGAGAGTTTTTCCTACCTTGCTGTAAACTCAGAAGTGACGAGATTGAGACAGGAGAGTCACGCCACGGTGAACCTGTTGCCCAGCACTGTGGTTCCTGGTGGGACAGGCCCAGCCCAACTCAGGCCAATTCATCCCAGTGAGAGCGAGTGTCACTTTTGTGAGCTGGCAGTCACTTTCCTTATCTTGTCTGTGACTCAGGCTCAGAGAGGATTTCACGACTTTCCACCCTTGCTCCTTCTGGATTAGAAAAGGAAAAACAGGCCGAGCACAGAAGATGCTCATGTTCTCTGAGAATTTCTCTATTCTTTTTGACACGATTTCTTTCACTCCTTAGAGCCACACGGCTGTGGTTGGCCTCGGGAAAGGATGAGCATAAACCTGTGGAGTGAGGCCACACCGCTCTCAGCTTCCATCTTCCCAGGCCTTGCATTCTGTCTGCTTCTTGTTGGATATATCTGGCTGCCATTCCAGTGAGATTTCTAGTCTTTTTAGTCAACAGAGCCGTCCTTGTCAATTAAGTTATTGAGTCTTAACTCTAAGTTTTAGAAATAAGTGAAATATTACCAGCAACAACAACTTGTACAATATTTCCTATGTGCCAGGCACTGTTCCGTATGTAGCTCCTAGTCTTCATGGCAACCATGCACCACAAACTGTCGTCAGTTACATTTTACAGGTGAGGACACAGAGGCCAAGCAGACTGTCCAGAGTCGCTGGCTCGCAGTCTGGTTCCAGAGGTCAGGCCCTGAGCTGCTGCGTCACAGGGAGGGGTCGGCCCAGCTACAGGCTGATGCATTTGTACAGAGTGGTCAGTTTAGCCCAGCAGCTCTCGCCCCCCAAAGCAGATCTGGCCTGGCTGGAATTTTGCTTTTCTGAAAAGCTTCAGTTTCTTCTGATGCTGCTGGTCCAGGAACCATAAATTAACCTTATTCATTCTCCTTTAACACAGGGGTCGTAGGAGGTCTCATGAAATCACAGCTCAGTGTAGAAGTTTATTTGCCCTGTGAATTTAATATCCCTATTTCTAAGTTTCTAGTTCCTGGATGTGTACCCAGAGTGAGAAATCAACGGTGGCTCTGCCTCATCCCACACGGGCTGGTGCATCCATCTCTGGTCCTCCTGTGGCTTTCCCCTCCTCTGAGGTATTGATGCCACTTACCACATATTCTGTCACCTCAACTTCTCCACAGAGTCCTTCCGCCCTTTTTAAAGGAACTTTTCAAAGCGAGAAAATAGAGAGCACAGTTACTGTTCTGAACTCAAGACCAGCTCCCACCACGTCCCGTGAGCACCTGGGCCCACCCCTCTTGTCCTTTCTTGGTTTTGAGCTACAGTTTTAAAGCAAACCCCATTTTACCACTAAATATCTCAGTACGTTTCTCTATTGAGGAAAAAGAACATTTTATCATGTAATAAAACAGCAGTAATTTCATGTTAGACTATAGTCAAATGCCTGTTGAAAAAATGTCTTTCTGCATTTTTTTCTCGAATTTAATACAAACAAGTTCTACTTATCACACTGGGAGACACAATTATGGTCTGACTTTGGAGTTTTGGCAGATCTGGGTTCAAATTCTGGCAAGTTTCCCTACTAGCTTTTTTTGGGTGCGTGTGATCCGAACCCTCGGGCGGGAGCGCCACTGCGCTTCCCAAGCGGCGCACTATCCAGTGCGCCACCGGGCCGGCCCTCTTTTTCAATCTAAAACATTCTCTCTGCCACCCCTTGTCCCCGTTTCCCACACTGTTGGCTTGTTGAAGAAACTGGACCCCAGATTCTGAATTTAGCTGATGCTTTCTCATTATGTTATATACGTCATTCCCCTAAGTTCCTGTAGCCTGAAAGTTGGATCTGAAGGCTTGGGTGGATTCAAGTGCTTGAGATTTTTATTTGGTGATTTGATTTGGCAAGAGTGTTCTGCAAGGGACTTGTGCTCACATGAATCGGGGTTTCTGTGCCGACCACCTGTCCTTTCTCCATCAGCTTTTTGCTTGAGGGTCCTGCTGACCACTGCCTGAATCCACTGTTTCATTAGAAGTTGCAAAATGGTGTTATCATCTCTCCTGCAACTACCAACTGGAATTCTTTGGTAAAGAAGAACTTTCCCTCATCCGCCAGGGCTATATGGTACCTCTGAAATATGTTTCCTACTGAATAGGCAGAACACATAGCTACTTACAGTTGGATCTCCATATCTGTGGGCTCATCATCCTCAGATTCGGGCAGCGCAGATCAAACATATTCAGAAAAAAAATAAAAATACCAACACAGCAATAAAAAATAATACAAATACAATGTACAGTACAACTACTGTCTCCATGGCATTTACATTGTACTAAGTATTATAAGTAATTGAGATGATTTAAAGTATACAGGAGAATATGTATAGGTTGTATGCAGATACTACACCATTTTATATCAGGGGCTTGAGCATCTGCGGGTTTTGGTATCCTCAGGGGTCCTGGAACAATCCCCCATGGATACCAAGGGATGACCGTGTTTCTCGTTGCAGAGTAACACAACCTCCGGTGGTATCCAGTGGGTTTCATTTAGCTTCTCTCCACCCCCCACCGTGAATCCCTGGTTTCCCCTTTAGCATTCTTTTTTTTTTTTTTTTTTTTTTTTTTCCGTGTCCCGCAACGGATCGCAACCCTCAGTGTCATGCCCGTACCAGACCGGGACCGGCAACGTGATCGCAACCCTCGGTGCCGCGCCCGCACCTCGCTCAGCTAGTGAGCGGGAACCGGTCTGTATGTGGGATCCGAACCCTTGGCGGGAGCGCCACCACACTCCCAAGCGGCGCACTGTAGCAGTGCGCCACCGGGTCGGCCCCCCCTTTAGCATTCTTAGAACTCATAGTCTTTTCTGTGTTCAACATGTTATAAACTTTTTTGTTGTAAAATCAAACAGAGATCCCCAAAACATACAAAACAAATGTTGGGCTTAACGAATTCATCAAAGTGAGCTCTGGTAACCACCATCGAGATCTAGAAGCAGAACTGGCGCAGTGCCCCCCAGTGACCTCTGTCCTGCCTTCTGTGGTAGTTTTACCATCCGTGGTTTATACCTAGTCGCTGTTGCCTATTTGTCTCCTACTTTCTATATCACTCTCCATCCCTTCTTGTCCTTCGAACCTCAGAGTTCCCGTCATCTGGATTCTGTGAATCCCACACTCAGGTTGCAATTCAGCAGGTTTCTCTGTATTTTTTTTTGCAAAATTGCAGCTTGATTTAGAGACTGGGCCAGACTCAGTTCGATCCCTTTGCAAGACTGTAGGGGGAGTTCAGCCCATGACAGGAGGCGCATAATATCTGGCTGTCTCTCTCTTCTTGATGCTAGCTGCTGTTGATGCTTAGTGCCTATGTTTATTTATTCATTGGAGGCTTCAAAATGATGCTCTTCTGATTCTGTCCTCTATTGTTTGTTTATTGGTTGGAATGGTTTTATAAAGAGACATGTCTCATCTACCATTTTATTACCCAGTAGCACATCACATAGAGGAAAGACAGCATCAATGTTTGATCCGTTCCCTTCATTTACCAGTGATACTGATTTGGTTCTCTGTCATCTTCTGAGCTTGGCCGATTCTTTTTCTAAATATCATGATGAACTCATGTATGAGGATATTTCAAAAAGTTTGTGGAATTATGGAATTAAGAGGTAATACGAATTTTTCTGTGAACTTTTGAAGTACCCTCATATTTAAACGTAACTGGTAGGTGGGGAAAGGGGGATGGGAAGGGAAGTCAGAGATAATTGGGGGGATAATTGGGTGGGGGACACGGGATATAATCACAATTCGTGGTAATGGACATGCTGCCAGTATGGATCTGGCCATCACATCTTAGGCCTGAGTGGTCACAATTTGCTTTGTACCCCATGAGTATTCATAAATAAATAAAACATAACTGGCAGGTTTAGTTCTTTGTGTTGTTACTGTTGAAGCTCAATTTGCCCATCTTGGGCATACAGGACCCTCTTCGTATTGAACTCTCTTGTGGCATCTGGGAGGTCAAAACCATTTCTGTGATGTTGCTGTAAGTTATGTGCCTTTTCATTCTGACCTTTCACACCGCGTGCACTGGAGCTTTGTGTATTTGGAAGATCTGTGTAGCTCAGTGAACTAGTAATTTCCACAGTGCTACAAAATTATGGAAGGTAAAAAAGCCATTCAAAGTGCAAGACACACAATGGCTTTTAATGTCATAGTACTAACAGTTTGCTGGAAATGGTTTGAGATTCCATATTGCAACAAATCCTTAAGAAGCTACTACTTGTGGAGTTTTGGTGTCGTGTCAAAGAGAACATCCACATTTATCTGCTTTGAATGCAGGAGGAGATATGAGAATCCAGCTGTCATTTATTAAACTAGACATTAATGAGTTTTGAAAATAATGTAAAGTAATTCCACTCATTAACATTTTTGTGTCTTATAGTTTTTCATTAAAATATGTTATTTGTGTTAACATATGATAGGCTTATTGCTATTTCAAAATAAATTAATATTTAAAATTTTTCTTTCTTTTAATTTCTCATATGGTAAATACCAATAGGTGTAACCCACTTGAATAAAAGCTCTTTGGGATCTTCAGTAATTCTGAAGTGCGGAAGAGGACCCTGAAACCAAAGATCTTGAGAACCACTGAATCAGACCGTGTCTCTTCTTTGTTTCTGTCCTCTTCAGTTTAGAG